CAGAGCAAACCTGGCCACCTGTCAGTCGCACCTCTACATCAGGACGCACAGGCGTGCCTGCGACCGAGCCCCCCACTCCCACGCGTTTCTTCTGTCCTCATTGTATTTCCCTTTATACGCGGTCTCGTTGTCAGTCAGGCCGGGACAGATGGATGGACAGGGAAGCAGCGGCTGTTACAGGTGATGATGGAGATTTATCAGCCTCTGCGGTGACTTGGCTCCCTCGATGTAAGCACCACGATCAGGAGTATTTTTCACTCGTTCAGGAATTTCCCCATATGTGACTATCTGTGGCTCTGCCAAGCCGATGTCCCTTGCTGGGACCTTCGTCACCCTCTGGAGCATCCCCCTGCCCACAACCTACCCCAGGCGGCTCTGAGAAATCCCAGTGAAGGAAGAAAAGGGAAGCAGAGGCCTGGAATCCAAAGCCACAGCAGGCCACAAGAACACGTCACCAGAGACAAAGGCCACGGAGACCCGCGAATGCAGAGGCAGCCGTCACTCAGGCACCGCCACAGGACGCAGCGGCCCTTTTCCTTGCTCGAGCTGACGCCCACCCCACGGGAAGAGAAGGCCTGCAGCGGGCATGCTCGGAACCCAGTGCGAATCTTGCAGCACGAGATGGTGAACGTCCAGGGCTGTGGCTGTACCCCTCACAGGTGGGGGCATCTTCTAGCCCCCAGTCCCCACCCCACAGGGCTCCTCAGTCGTGAAAGGTTGATGTTTATTTTAGATTGTCCCCTCATCTAGAGACAGGTCTCAAGTAACCACATGTGAAAGGAATCGCGTCTGCACCGTGGGGTCTGCAGTAGGTGGGTTTTCAGATCCCACCGTAAGGAGCTCAGATCTGCTGCATCGGGAGATGAAGAGCTAGGGAAAGGAGTTTTATCCAATGGGATGAAATATATAAATCACAAATTTCACAATGCTGAAAATTAAATGTCCATCTTCCAATTTAAATGATGACTAGATTAAAACTGCATGCAGGAGGCTGATTCTCAGAAATCATTAATTACTTTTAATTGCCTCGTGCCCTCCCGTCCGACGTCAGAGCTGCACGACTTGTCCTTGGCTCTGCAGATCAAATCCTCCTCGGCCCCGACGAGAGGGATGCTGGCCGCCGCCTGACCACACTCACACCTTCCTGGTGTCAAAGGTCTTGAAAGGGGGCTGGATTTTAAGGGGAACGGCTGTGGGGTGATAAGGGGCTTCTCTAGCAAAGAGAAAAAGACGAGCGCTGTGGGTCCTGGCCCACTAGCCCCGAGCGCCCGGACGGCCCTGTGTGGTGCTCGTCCTGGCACCTGGGCATTCTCAAGTGGCACGCTGGTGGCACACGAGGAGCCCCACAGCCTCCCAACTGCTCAGAGCAGCGCCCTGGCTGGTCCAGCACCCCTGGGCCTTGGTGGTCTGCACCCCACTGCGTCCTGGGTGCGAGGGGGTCTGGGAGCCTGGGTTTCACTGCACGCCGGTTTTAGTGGCATCTGCTTGATTTTCCTGTCTTACACCACCATGCCACTTTTTTTTCAAAAGGGAGAAATGTAAGTTTTTTGTGGTTAGGAAAACCTCCACCCTTGGAGAGAAACCGGCGGTCTACAACAGCGGCAATGACGGAGGGTGGCGTGTGTGGCTTCCCGGCCTCTGGTGTCTCACGCCTGAGCAAAGCCTGCCAGGGACCCAGGGGAGGGAGGCATGCCTGGGTTGGGAGGGGCATGCGGAGCCTCCTCGCCTGCCCAGCCTCAGGAAGTGGCCAGATGCTTGGCAGGTGTGGGTGCAACACCCGTCCCTCCCGCATCCCGAGGCCTCTGGTCCCCTCACAGCCCTTTACTCAACTTTTGGACACCCTAGGGTCACTTAGGGTCACTTCAGCCTGAGTGCCCCCCGAGACACAGTCTGTCTTTGCCAAACTCACGGTCACTGCCACTGGGCCATGTTGGAATGCTGCCTGGCACTTGACAGGACCCTCCCCACGGACAGTGCCAGGCGATGCGGGAACTGGGTTAAGAGGCATCTACAGGGTCACCGCTCACAGGGAGCGTGGTGCAGCAAGGGCGGAGCTGAGGAGCATCTGTCTGAAAATAACAGACACAGCTGGCGGCAGAGGCCTTGCCCGGGCTCCGAGTGGTCTTCGGCACTGAGCCTGGGACCACTCGGAAGGGACAAGGCTTCCGGCTCAGGACCAAATCCTGAGTCCTGGCACAGCTGCGCCTGCTTCTGTCCCGCTGCCAGTGACTCTCGTGTCTAGCGTCCCTTCCCGCTCTGCTCTGTGTCTGAGGGGCTACTGCAGATCCTTCAGGACCAGGTGAAACAGAGACGAGCGAAGGTGCACTGTCCGGGGGAGCAAGGGAGGCTGGGCACGGGGACTAAGACGGGAGGCTTCAGGAGGGGGAGATGCTCTTAGAGGACAACGGCGAGCGGGAAGAGACTGAGGAGGACGTCTGGGGGCAGGCTGGACAGAAGCGCTGTGGAGGGCCCCCAGAGGCAGACCTCAGGCACGTCTGAACCCCCAGGACCACAGGGCCACCGGAGAGGGACAGCACAGGAGCCTGGGAAGCACAAGCCACCACTCACCCAAAGGGAGAAGGGGGAACACAGGTGCTTTCCCAGAGGAGTTCAGATAGGGAAAAAGAGCAAGGGGACCCCCGTCAGGCAGGTGCTGCAGACGGGGCCTGAGTTTGGGGGCCATGTGGTCTCTGCCCCAGTGGCGTGGGGGCACAAGAGACAACCAGGTACGGCTGGGCGCCAAAAGAACTTGATCTGGATTTTGTGTCATTTTCACGCACCACTAAACACGATTCCCCTTTTCTGGACTATTTACAAACGTGCAGATCCAGGGAAGGCTGTGAGAGGGAGGTGGCCTCAGGCTGAGGCTGGCTGCCACTGAACACAAAGGGATAGCCTGAACCAAGCCTGCAGCTGCCACTTCCCTCCCAGCTCCTTCTCTATGAAGGCCACCTCCAAACCAACGAGCGGTGACGTGGGAACTGACCTGGACTCAAGAACAGAGTTGGGGTGATGGCTCCACCAGCTGCTGGCCAGTGGGATGTGAGGGTGAAAGTAGGAGCCAGGGAGCGTGGAGGAGCCTCGCTGAGCAGGGCTCAGGGGACAGGAAGACAAGCGAAATTATATTCTCAAGGCAGGACAAGAAAGTTATTGATCTGTGGTCTGGAAGCGATTTCCAGTAAGCCCTGAAAGCACAGTGCCAGCCAGGCAGCTTGTGGGCGCTCGGAAAAACCTGGGTGATCTTTAGGGGCCCCTGGGGTTTACCGAGAAGACGCCACATTAACGCCAGGCCTGTGTCTTATTACAACAGCGACACACGCTATTACAGAAAAACGGGAAATGGCCAGAAAGCTGGGGAAGAAGACAGGACTGGAGAGTCGGGCAAACCCCACCATCCTGGGTGTGGGCCTCTAAGACCTTCAGATGTGCACATTTCACATGAAATCACTTGAACACACTAACTAGTCGCTGCCGCTCCCCCTCACCTTTCCAACTAAGCCGTCCCCCTCCGGACAGTGGAGAAGTGAAGGCCACTGGCTGGCACTTATGCTTCAGCACCTGCCTCCATCCCACTTTTGGAGCTGTGGTTTTCAAAGACAGTCGTGCTCATCCTCGGGATAAATCTGTCTGCATATCTGTAAGCATTTTCTAGAAGAGACTCATAGAAGAGGAAGAGTGAGGACCAAAGGTCTCCTCCGTGGCCATTCTGACTGGGGAACGAATTGGCAGGGCAAGGGACATGGGCGTCTCAGGATTCCAGCACTGGGCCCATGCAAGTCCCTCCCCTCTTCTGTGGACAAGAGAAACATCTGCTCCACTGTGGAGACCAGCTGACAAACTTGGCTGATGGAACACAGAGTGCCCCAAGCTGCTGAGTGGCTGTGAACGCGCAGGAGACAGAGGAGCTTGAGGAGCAAGGGTCTCGGAGACAGAAGGGGCTGCTTCTGGAAGGAAGGGTGTGGCCCCAGGCTCTGGGGGTTGAGGAGGCCAATCAGGGTGATCACCTGCCCCGGGGTCCTGGAGGGTGTTCCTGGCAAGGCAGATGCTAGGTTAACTCCTTTCTTCCACACACATTTTACGGGCGCCTCGTGTGCCAGGGACAGAGCTGCGTGTCAGGTCTGCCGGTACCTCCAGCAGCCCAGAGCAGTGGCTCTGCCTCGCAGGTATGGCGCAGGAGGCCTGTCTCAGCACAAGGTCCAGGAAAATGAGTTCATTAACAGGCACACCACTGAGACAATAACTAAAAGTAAAAGCCCATCCCTGCGTGTTAAATATGGACTGCTTTTCAAATTTCTAATTCCATTGTTTTGAGATCTACTTTCCCTAGGACGGGACCACAAACTAGGGAGCACTAACCAGAGGTTCTCAGGAGGAACACGGTGTCCCAGAGGTTGCAGCAAGGGCTTGGGGCCTGCAGTGTGCAGTGAACATGTGCCAGGGTCGCTCTGGAAGAAGCGCTTGACGATTCACTTCATCAGCAGCGAGACTCCAGCCATGAAGGCGCCAGCGCCGGGCAGGGGCTAGGACCTGGGGCACACTCTGCCGGAACTGTTTTGGAATAAACTGTTGCAAACCCCAACTTTGCAATACCAAATGGAGATGTGCCACTTGGCACCAGACACTCTTTGAGGTGGGGAGAGGGGGTTCTAGCCAGAACCATGCACAGGCCGGCTGCCAGGGGCTGGGTGGGCAGGCTTCCCAGTCGTGCCCTGGTTGTCCAGTGCTGAGCTTGCAGGCCGTGTGGAGCCGGTGGGTCCTGCGGGGTATTTCTGGCAGCATCACTACAAAGCAGCCCTGGGCCCTGGCAGAGCAATTTGGAGGCCTGCAGCCTCGGAGGCAGTCTGAGCTGCCCCTGACGTGGGCTGGGGCCCTAACTGCCTCTGGAAGATAAAATCCCATTGACTGCCACTCTCATAAATGGAACAGGAAGTTTCTGAATGGCTTCCCCTGTGTCTTGAGGCAGTTACCTTGGTATTGCTACACTAACAGCTGAAACGCACCCGGACAACACCTCATCAACCGCAGGGCGAGGAAGCAGCGGTCCAGAGGCAGGCAGCAACGGTCTTGCCAAACCAGAGATTTCACTCCCGGCTCTTTGCTGCAGAAACGCCAACAGCTGGGAAAGCCATCAGAGGATGCGGGGAAGGTGGGTGCAGCCCAACACTGCACTGGAAAGAGAGGAGAGGCTGCAGGCGAAAAGTCATCTGTTTGATGGCTGTCCTTGCATGCACTGCGACCAGCCCTGCCTGCTGGATTTCCTGGGCCTGTTACACGCCACTCTGCCACTAAACATCTGGGGACATATTCAGCTTTTCTACAAAATAGGTCATCTTTCCACACTTGTTCTGCTCCCTGTCGACTCTGGCGAAATAGCCACAGCATAAAAGAACTCCCTGGAGAAGCTGCACTTAGACAAACACGCGCCTTCTCCCCGGGAGAGCCTGGCTCCTGGCGTGGAGCCAGGGCGGGGGCTGAGAACACCCCTGTCCTCCCCTTCCCAGCAGGAGCGCAGCCCGGAAATGGAACAACTGGCTTTTGCTTATACTTCCAAACCTATTAGGGAGTGATCATAACGAGAGAAACTAATACTGACAAGAATTATGCCATTGTTCTATTTCATCTGTTTAGTAACCTGAAGTTGCAATTTTTAGAAAAAAGATTACCTTTTAAATAACCGATTCATTATGGTACATGAATGAATGCCATGTTCCCGCGTTCAAAACGTCACTCACCATTAAGGGCGTGCGCGGGTAAGTGGCACCGATTTACCACTTCCCCTTATACACAAACACCGACTGGTGGCCCCGGACAATCAGAGGCAAGTGTGGTTTCCTGGGCTCTTGGCAAGTGGCCTACACTGCCCAGGGCATAAGGACGCCCACACCTGAAACAAGCCTGGTAAACTGCCCCTCCCGGTGGAGGCGAGGAGGGGGACCAGGAATGATGAGGCTCCTGCCAAGGTGACGCTGTCAGTTTCAAGGCTGGGTTGAGAAATCATGGACTCACACTCTGGGCGCGTGGGGGAGACGGCCGGTGCCGCCTTGGGACACAGTCTGGCTGTGAGACACGAGCGGAGGGTGCTGGCCCCACTCAGCTTGGCACTGTTCCCCATCCCAGGGGAGACGGGCCCAGCAGGGGAGGGTGTTCTCTGACCCTCCCTTCCAGCCTGCGAACCCCACACGCTGTTTTCCATCATTAGTTTCAAAGCCTGCTGAGCACTTGGCCTCTCCGTCTCTGTAAGTGCCGCGGTAACACAAAGGCAAGGGGAGGCGGGGTCCCCGCAGGGCAGATGCCACCGGACACAGACCCCACGTACCTGATATGGCATACAAGTTGGAGTGCTGGTACTCATAGTCCGTCCGGCTGCTGTTCCTGCCTCGGAAGGTGGCGGGGAGCGTTAGAGAGATGTGCCTGGAAAGAGGCAGAGGGGAGAGAGGCGGTTACTGGAGCCTGGAACGTCCCCAAGGCTCCCACTCATCCCCAGAGCTGTCGCCAGGGTCCTGCACACCCGCAGGGGAGCGTGCGTGGGCCAGCCTCTTCCTCCTCCACTTCCCCACCAGCCTCCAGGCCTCCCCCCAAGGATCCAGAGGCTTCCAGACACCCACAGCCTCCTTCCCCGCACTGCACAGGGCACCCAAGGGAGGGAACGACACCCCAGGTGTGTCCCAGGCACTCTATGGAGGCGGCAGTCTGACCGGGGCCTCTGCGTGCTGGGCAAATGCACCAGTGGCATCAAGACACCAGCTCTGGACATGAGCCCGGCCTGCTCAGTGTCCACCCTGTGGCTTCCACATCTGCCTCGAGGTGGGGAGGGCCATGGCACGTGAAGAAGCACTCGCAGGTGAAGGTGCCAGGTGTTATTCCCAGGTGAGCTCAGGGACCAGGGACCTCTGCCATCAGGAAAGCACTCTGCTCTGGTCAGCTGGGTCTGGGGCCCCTGCAGGTGAAGCACACAGTAGGTGCTCAGGAAAGCATCTCTGCCCGGGCCACTGCTGTCTTGTGTGGTTCAGGTGTTGTCCGTGGAAGCACCTGATGAGCACTAAGCCAAGCACTCAGACCACGGGAAGTGCTCCCGAGGTGGGGCGCGAGCCACCTCAGGGGTGGAAGGCCACGTGTGGCAGTGGAGCAAGCTCAAAACCCTGCAGGTCGGGGAGACGCCTGCCACCCAGACCTCGGGAGGAATGGCTGTGGGGGCGTGCAGGGCTCAGCAGTCCCACTGTGGCCACACCTGGGCTTTTCCAGAGGGGAGACGAGGGAGCATTTATTACACAGGGGAGTTGTCACCAATGTAGAGCCTTTCCACCTGATATTGTGAGACAGTCCAGGACCCCTGCTGGGTGTGGGGACCTGCAGGAAGGCTAGATGACACCCGCCATGTGTGGGGACACTGGAGGAAGGCTCTCAGGCAGGTATTCCCACGAGCCTGGGACAGAGCTGCAGTGGCAAAAACCTTTTTGGGACAAGGTAGCACTGTGGGCTGCCTTTACAGGGGACCCCTGTTCCACAGAGATGGGTCCCTGAGGCACCCTGGAGGGCACTGCCTAGGTGTCAAAGGGGCTAACCAAGGAGCCTCGGGGTGCTGCCAGGGGAGCTCCCAGGCTGCAGGGATCAGGGGCTGGGAAAGGTCACTGTGTCCGGTGCCAGAGGAAAAGGAAACATGGGTGCTGCTGAGCACGGGGGAAGGACCCATGAAAGGAGGTCCTCATGACGTCTTGGGGGATGGGTGAAGGAGTAGAGGCACCCCAGGTAGTCAGGGAAGGCAACCCTGTGGTGTGGGTTACTGGAGCCTGGAATGTCCCCAAGGCTCCCACTCACCCCCGGAGCATGGCATAGAAAGTGGGGTGGGGGTGGCCTGGAATGGATGCCAAGTGCCACACAAGGGGGTCTGGGTTTTATCCCTGGGATAGAGGTTCCCAACCTCTGCCACTCATCATGGCACACAGATGAAGGTGTCAGGTCTCTGGGGACGAGCTAACAAGAGAGATGCACAGGCCTGGCCCTGAGGTGCCTGGTTCAGTGGCCTGTTGGGCTACAGAGCAGGAACCCATTTCTAACAGGCCCTGGCCCAGACTTCAAAGCGGGTCAGGGCTGGGAACCTGGAGGGTCAGGAGTGCGGCAGAAGGTGGTGAGTGGTCTGTTGGAGCTTCACGGGGGAATGAAGCGCTGCCCGCGGCCACGGCTGAGGGAATGGCAAGGGTGGCCCTGTAGGGTGTCACCAGGTGCTGGGTGGCAGGGATGTGGACATCATATGTTCTCCATGGTGCCTCACAAGGCCCTGGTGGGCAGTTATGGGGCACTAGCCAAGGAGCAGGCACAGTGCAAAACGGAACCATGGGCGACTCAGTGGCTCCCCAGGTGGCCACAGAACAGAAGCCAGCCTGGGCCCTACATGACAGCAGATGTCATGCCTGAGACACGGGCCCGGGGTGCACATTGCTACTGCATCCCCTGGACCAATGTGGGAATGGGCAGGAGCTGGGGAGAACTGGGCTGCCAGATGCTATGATTTCTAAGCTTTATAGTCCTAAAAAGGTGCACCCGGCCTCGCGAGGGCCACAGCCCGGGTGGTGCAGCGACACTCCAGGGCGAGAGGGAGGCCCAGGAGCAGGCAGCCCTCATAGAACTTGGGAAGACGTGTGAACCTGGATGGTGGCAAGGAGGCCAGAAAGGGCCAGCCTGACCACCAGGATCAAATGCATGGACACAGAAGTGTGGGGAATTAGCAGTGGCAGAACAAGGGGGGCCCAGAGTTGTTCACAAAGTGATGTGAACACCTGCTTCCACACGTGAGCTCGTGTAGAAGCAGGAAGATGGTGGGGCTGGGGAGGCAGGTAGTGGTTCGGGGAAGGCTTCTGCCAGGACTTGGGCTGACGTGGGACCTGAAGAGTCTGGGGCAACATGGAGGAGGCCGTGCACCCCAGGCTCTGCAGGCCTCTGGGAGGATGAGGACATTGGCCAGTGGGAAGAGCTGCAGGGACCAAGCTGGCCAGGGTGGAGCACGGGGCCCCACAGCCTGGACTTTATCCTGAAGCATTTTTAAGCAGAGCTGTGACAAGGGCCAAATGACAGTTACAAAAGTTCACCTCTAGTGGAACCATGAAGAACTAGACCGAGACTCCAGGTAGACGGGGACAGGAACAAGCTGAAGCAGACAGTCGGGGAACTTGTGCAGAGCCTGAATCACTGTCAAAATGACCTGCCGCAGACCCCTAAGGGGATAGTTTTGTGGCAATTCTGTGGCAAACTGGACTTAAAAAGAGGTGCATTCTAGAGAATCATGGAGCCTGGCTCTTTGGCTGCCCATCCAAAGAGGAGCTTGGCATCTGAACCTTCTGGCCTCTGGGGCGTGAGATCAGCTTGGCTGCCCACCCTGCACGCTCCTGACTGGGCCCGTTCCCCTTGCACTTGAAGACGCGTCCGCTGGGCCCTCCCTCCTCCTCCTGCCTTCCAAAGGCTGCCATTTGCAAGGGTCCTGGTGCGCTCACAGCCCACGTCCACGAGGTCCAACGCACAGCGTCCCACCACAGCCACCTCTGCCGACTCCGCCTGTTGTCACGGCTGGCCCCCCTCTGCCAGCAGCTGGGGAGTCCTGGGGGCCTCTGAAGGCCCTGGCTCCTCAAGCCTGGGCCTGATTCCGTGCCCATGCTGGTGCTTCTTCCTCCCTACTCTCCAGACCCCTTCGTCCTTCAGGACCCCCCAGCCCTCTCTCTCTGCTAAGAGCCTCTTTCTGCTAAGGGCTTGTCTCGGGCTGCACTGGTGCTGGATGTCCTCTCTCACCAGTGGATCCTCCTCAACAAGAGGGTCAGGTCTCCACTTTCTAGGACCGTTCTTCACAGAGTGGACGCCTATTAGACATTTGTTGACCCAATCAGGGGTGAACTCAGTCCACTGAGGCCCTGGGCCCCTGTGGTGAACTGCTGTTAGCTCTGTTTTTCTCACTAGACCCCAGGGGTGTCTGCAGGGCACCCCACTCCCACCCACCTTTGCTGTGGAAACCAGGGCAGAGCAGCAGGTATTCAGGGGAGGGGCAGTTTCTGTTTATATGACAGACGATGTGTTGTTGCGGGGGGGATGGGAAGTTAAAAGAAAATTCACGTTTTGGGCTGATCTCTGACAGGCAGCTGCTCTACCCGAATCTGCTGAGCTGAAATCAGGTTTCAAAAACTCCAGCCAGAGAGGCTGGCAAGAGCCCCGGGGTTCAGGGGCTTGAGGGCTTGAGGGGCTTGAGGGGCTTGAGGACTTGATGCCAGGCTCCTCTTCCCTCTGCAGAGCCTTTTCCTGTGTGTGCTTTTCGCTCCCACTCTCCTGCACCGAGGAAGCAGGGACACAGAGGACATAGGGATAGGACAGAAAGGCCCATCGAGGCCTCCTGCTGCTGAGAATGAACACTCTGGGCAGAGGGGACGGTCACCTGGGCTTGAACAGGATGAAGAAGTCCCTACTGAGTCCCAGAGTGAACCAAGACTCCAGGTCCCCAGAGAAGCACCTGCCAGGGAGGAACTGTCCCCCCCAACACCGCACCTGGCTTACCTCTCAGCCATCTTTTAGACAGGAATAGTTATTCTCACTTAACTGAACAGGAAACTGAAATTCTCAGAGGTGAAGCCAATAAAGAGAAAGCCAGGGATTCAGGAAAGGTCAGCCCATGTCCTCCGCATGCTGCTGTCTTCACGTCTCCCTGACCTATCACCTGGACCATCAGGTATGGAGACTGAGGTCACTCAGCCAAGACCGCGTGGCTGCCCTCAAGACACCTCTGAAGACCAGTGATGCCAGGACTCTGTGCCTGCCACCTGCCCGCGTGGCGGCCCTCCAGGACCTGGTGCAGCCCACAGGCAGGTAACCACAGCATGAGGCCCAGGGAGGCAGGGAGGCTGCAGTGGTGAGTCTGCCGGACTCAGGTCCAGACCCCAGTGCCAACGCCCGGCAGGGGCGCACTCTGGGGGTGGCAGGGAGGCAGACAGGCAGCGAGCCCGACAAGCACCGTGGCCTCCAGTTCTGGTCAGCTCTTCCCATCCTGCCACCCAGCTTACCCAGGTCCTGCTCACGCGGGCCTGAGAGCAGGACCAGAACAAAAGCCCCCGGGGACCTCCCTCTGCGCCAAGAGGAAGTGGAAACGCGCCACGGAGGGAGCCTGTCTCCCTCTGGCAGCCTCTAACCTGTGCTCCTCCACACAGGTCCGCCAGCCTCACCTGCAGCTCTAGCCCCCTGCCCCCTTGGCTCCGGCTCCTGCCCCAGGGCCTCTGCACTTGGGTCCCCTCTGCCCGAAACACTCTTCCTCCAGCTCCTCAGAAGCTGGCTCCTCCTCCTGGGCCAGGCCTGCCCTGACTGCCTTTTGGGGAGACACCCACCCCCAGCCACTCTCTTCCATCCCTTCCCTCTCCACAGGGAGGTCTGATTTGGTTTGGGGT